TTTGTCAAACAATAACCATGGAACATAATTACAAACTACGAATAAACCATTCCGATAACGTTTTTGACAATTTCATCCCTGGCGACTAACTGCCCTCACTTGAAATAATACTTCTCAGATAAGTGAAGGGAGTGCATTCTTCTAAATCTGTTCCGTCTATAGTGATTGATGCTTTCGATATTGATTGGTCATTTTCACCAACTCCCTTATTCTCTATGATCACTTGAACCTTGATACTTTTCAACAGTCCACATCTGCTCTCTCAGAACCCCAGCACTTCTACATCATACCTCCTTCTTTCGCTGACTGGGCAGCCATACCACTCAGCCTCATACATATTACGTACAATCCACGTCCTCATTCTCATTCTTGCTTTCACCGAGAGAGATGACACATCGGCTGGATGGGTAAATGTTTTGATATTGTGGAGAATGAGTAGTGTAATGTAGACAAAAGGTGCACGAGATGACAATTAACTAGTTGGTGAGTTTGCTTATCATTGTGGGGAGTTCAAAGTTGGGTCACATTACAGCTATAACAAGGAGATGGTGTTGTAACTGACGATTACGTGATTAAATATACGACAGAGTAAAGACATCTGGTTACCAGGTGAAAAGAAGTCTGATGACTATTCCTTTCTACACTCACAAATCAGCTTTCAAAAGATTGATATAAGTTCCTCTCGCAATTTGAAGAAGAACCCAACTATATTTAATTCCTGATAATTTCAAAGGATTTAAGGCTGTCCACTTTGTGATCCCTGTCAAGCAGTGGCCTGCTTATGGCGCTACAGAAAGCGTTTCTCACACAAAAACCGTTGTGTTTGCTTTATTCACATTTTACAAGATTGTATTCGTGAGGAAACTAATAAGACTAAGAGAATCCTTGAAACTGAAACTACAAGTGCCTTCATGGCTTATCTAATATTCTAAAAGTACAAATATATTTGAGAAACAAATTGACAATATTCCCTTACTTCATCTTCAGATAAGAACTAAATCAACCTGTGTATTGAGTGAGGTGAAATGGTTTCACAGTGATACCGATGTGAAACACTATATCCCCTGATAGTGATCCCGCTCCACGTCTGCTGCATCACATAGTGCGATGGGGTTGCTGAGCTCACTTCCAGCTCTTCCACCTTGCTGAACTTCAAACATCAGCACGTGTACTAGGCGAGTCTAGGGATTGTAACCTTCGATGATTGAATCTGGACTACGTGCATGCTTGGAGAGCAGTCTAATATTGTGCTTGCAATCGTTTGCAATCATTTAAGAAATCTACTGAACTAAGCATAAAGAAAAGCACTGGATATTCAACACTAATTGTATGTCAGTTACTTGTTCCAAGTGGCTCAGAAACTATTGTGCAAGGAATTTGAAAACCACTTCAACACTATGGAATGCAGTGTTCCGAATATCTATGATCCACAATCATACCGACGCACACACGATATCTATGGTCGGCCTGCGAAATTTGGCCTACCGATATCCATGCTGAAAATGACATACTTGTACTGAAAATACGGTGTGGCATCAAGCCGTAATCAAAATAAAAAAAATAAAATAAATCATGAAGAATAAGGTGGTGACACATGCCAACAGAGAGCTCAGCGAAGTGTTTGTGACCTATGAATTCTGAGGTCTACCAACACAGAGACATGCCTGAAACCCTAAAGTCGCTTACACTTTATCATTCATCTAATTATTTCATTATTCGCAATAATTCATCTTCAATCGCTTATTATGTTATCAATTCGAATCGACATTCGCTACTCAATTGCTCCTCATATGCAACCAGAATTTCGCGTTGAGTTACACAACCGTTCAACTTCTACGATTATTTCTACCCTTCAATACCTGATGTGATTTCCTTCAATTATCACTACATGCTTGTTTTCATCTCATCGTTTACGATAACTAATCGTCATCGTCATCATGCTCTGTCCGGTTCACTGGTACGCTCACACATCCAAGCCTGTTGCAGGACAGATTTGTGACGAAAAACAAAAGTAACTTGAATTTGAATTATAACCTCTTTTATTAGATTAATAGATAAATGTTGTACGCTGTGCGGGTTGGCGACAACCGACAACATACATCACATTTCATGCATTTTATCCAGACATCAGTGCGTAGAATGAACAGAAAAAGAATAGACCCACGCATCACCCCCAATGAAACTGTCGATCCACAGCTGAATGATACTGGAGACCAGAATGCGTGTCACCACCTGAAAATGAATAGAGAAAACACACATTAAGCATCATGTCCCAGTCTGATCCACATTTGTGCAAATGAAATTCTCGTCTGTTCGGATAGTGAGACTGTCGGTCGTCATTATGGAAGTTCGCAATCATGCAATGACGGTGTCAACGCCATTGAGAAAAGGACACAAGTATTTCATCACTCCACAACGTATGACTTCCAACTAATGAGTACGCCATTTGAGTATGGCATTGTGCAAACAAATCAGCTAGCCTGTATACACGTATCAGGAAATCGGTGGGGCGAGATCATATGTGTTGTCAGCAACGTGAAAATATTGAGCATTTTGCAAGTACACGCCTAACGAAGACAAACATTGAGTGGAGAAAAGCTACTCCATCAATTCAAATAACAGCTGGTGTGCATAAAGAAAACGCGATATTTCACATGCACAAACGACTGCGAAAATGTGAAGCATATCTCACCTTGAAGGGATGAATGGTGGAGCAGGTTGGCTGTGGTTGGATAAATCGCCTTTATACGTGCACTTTCGGCAGCTGAAATCACTAGAACTGTAAGAAGCAGGTAGCAAATCTGAACAGAATGAAACATGAACATCACCATTAAATGTCACACACAGACTCACCATTCTCACTGAGTGCCACTGATACATATCGATGATGATGATGATGATGGTGGTGGTGGTGGTGGTGGTTATGGAAAACCAGGAACACGGGCCCGTCTTTATAGTTTGCGAGAAGACTGTGATGCGAACACATGTGGCTGTCGTTCAATAAGTGTGACCAATGGAAATATTCTGATGTACACTGTGAATGGGTGACCTGTAGATTAATTGATAAAGTATGGGAATATCAGCAATTTGTTTCTGAGAGTTTTGTGCACTTTCTCAAAGTTTCATACACAACGGAGCCCTGGGAAATTTATATTCATCAGTTTTATCACCTGAGAATTTCATACCTATTAATGGCCTTATTTGTAAAAGTACATTTCCATACAATACTGAATGCTGAATGTGCTTTGTTGAGAAGAACTTATCCTTTGTGTAGAATCTTGAGTTTGGACAGTATTGATGAATATGTCACCGTTCTAGGTGAATCCCGATGATATAGCTTATTCCTTGTCAACAAAATGAGAAGTAGACATCAACAGAGAAACGATAGCAAGCACAATATTAGACTGCTCTCCAAGCATGCACGTAGTCCAGATTCAATCATCGAAGGTTACAATCCCTAGACTCGCCTAGTACACGTGCTGATGTTTGAAGTTCAGCAAGGTGGAAGAGCTGGAAGTGAGCTCAGCAACCCCATCGCACTATGTGATGCAGCAGACGTGGAGCGGGATCACTATCAGGGGATATAGTGTTTCACATCGGTATCACTGTGAAACCATTTCACCTCACTCAATACACAGGTTGATTTAGTTCTTATCTGAAGATGAAGTAGGGGAATATTGTCAATTTGTTTCTCAAATATATTTGTACTTTTAGAATATTAGATAAGCCATGAAGGCACTTGTAGTTTCAGTTTCAAGGATTCTCTTAGTCTTATTAGTTTCCTCACGAATACAATCTTGTAAAATGTGAATAAAGCAAACACAACGGTTTTTGTGTGAGAAACGCTTTCTGTAGCGCCATAAGCAGGCCACTGCTTGACAGGGATCACAAAGTGGACAGCCTTAAATCCTTTGAAATTATCAGGAATTAAATATAGTTGGGTTCTTCTTCAAATTGCGAGAGGAACTTATATCAATCTTTTGAAAGCTGATTTGTGAGTGTAGAAAGGAATAGTCATCAGACTTCTTTTCACCTGGTAACCAGATGTCTTTACTCTGTCGTATATTTAATCACGTAATCGTCAGTTACAACACCATCTCCTTGTTATAGCTGTAATGTGACCCAACTTTGAACTCCCCACAATGATAAGCAAACTCACCAACTAGTTAATTGTCATCTCGTGCACCTTTTGTCTACATTACACTACTCATTCTCCACAATATCAAAACATTTATCCATCCAGCCGATGTGTCATCTCTCTCGGTGAAAGCAAGAATGAGAATGAGGACGTGGATTGTACGTAATATGTATGAGGCTGAGTGGTATGGCTGCCCAGTCAGCGAAAGAAGGAGGTATGATGTAGAAGTGCTGGGGTTCTGAGAGAGCAGATGTGGACTGTTGAAAAGTATCAAGGTTCAAGTGATCATAGAGAATAAGGGAGTTTGTTGGTGGGGATATTCGAAAACACCAAGCAAGACATCTACCGATATTTCCGATTCCTCTTCATCGTCACAAGAACCGAAACTTCGTACACATAAAAAATCCAATCGCTCTTTCTCACATCATACGACATGTCAGGAAGTCCTGAAAACAAAATCAGTAGACAAATTTAGTGGTCTCAAATTTGTCACATCAAAAAACTCCGAGTGATCTCCATCACAAGAACATGAACATATTAATGATAAAAAGCGACGTGTAAAAGTCGTCTCACCTAAATGGAACACCTCGTGTGGATCTGAGAAGTCCACCCGTAAATGGAAAATGTCACCGTGTGGAGGGAAATCGCCTAAGCATTCCAGAGAATATATGAATACATTGAAGACTTCAGAATCTCCACAGACACTTGATCCACCAGAAGTAATTAAGGAACACGAGGTTGTGAAGAAGGGAATAAGAAGGAAGAAGTCATCTCATCGTAGTCGATCTCGTGAAAGTAAAGAAAGAAGCGACGTGAAAAGGACGTCTTAGCTAAATCCGACACCTCGAGTGGATCTGAAAACATGAGTGATGATGATAGTGTTCACGATAGCACCGGTAGTGGTGCAACATTACCGAATGCCAATAAAATTGACAAAAGTAGGAATTCTCTACTCTGTTTTATAAGAAAGAAGTCACCATACAAGACTAAAGGTACCACGCCTAGTGACAAAAAAATTAAGAAACCTACACGTTCAACAAAGCCTTCCAATAAAGCTACACTTTCAAAACATACAACGTCTAAGAAACATCAAGCTAAAACGTCAAGAAATTCGCCAATATCTTTCACAAACATTACTGAAATATCTCTGTCTAAAGAAGAAGATGAAGTAAAAAGGAATATTATTCAAGGATGAAGACCATGGTGTCACTGAAACTACAAAACAACACAGAGATATAGAATCACATGAACCTGTGAAAACTGAAGTTGAAGAGGTTGAAAAGTTATCACTTGAAGAGTATGTTCTACTACTTCAGGAGACTTTCGACTATTACAACAGAAATACAGACCAAAGACAAGAAGAGCAGCTAGAACAACCACAACCACCATCACCACAAAAACAACAACATTAAATGAGTTCAGATGATCAAAAACTCGTCATAAGTAAAGATGTACCGTTAGACGAAAACCTGTGCGAAATTCAAACGTCATCACAAGATGATGATATAAGCAAATCACCCTATTTGCCTGTTCTAACTGACCAAAATGAAAATCTAGAAAATTATCCAACATCAATAGGTACTGAACAGTTTGCTATACAAAAATATCCCTGTGAATGTTGTGAATGCTGTCGAAATCATCATCATCTTTCTATTACATATTGTTCACCATCCTTGTTACCAGATGACTCTGATGCAGTGCTGAAAGAAGAAAATATCCTCCCGGGTACTTTGAATTTAAGAATAGTCCAGTCAATTGATAATACTGAACATGTACTAGCAGAGAATAAAATTTCCTTGAATACATTATTTCAACCAGATGTTGAAACACTGGATGAATTAGATCCAGTGAATGCGGTGTATAATGCAACTGAGCGAAATGCCCTTTCAAAACATGAGCCTCCACTGAATCAGACAACTGCTACAAGCTCTAAAACTATCCAACATTGTGAACTGCCATCTGTTAAACTCACTATTACAGCTTCTACATCAAGTCCACAAAAGTGTAAATTCAATGAAAGAAATAATTATTGTATGTGTGGTTGTTCTCTTGTTAACAAGAATACAAATATGCAGCGTGAACAAACAATCGGAAATTCGTCTGCAGAATGTCGAACAGATAAGGAGTTTTCTAGACAGTACAGTACTGAGTCTAAAGTTCAATTATCACAGTCACAACCACCATTGCCACTGCCATTGTCATTGCCATTGCCGAGAGAATCGCAGAGAACACCAACACCACCGCCAAGATCAGAAACACCGACACTGACACCGACACCGCCACCATCACCACCATTGTCAATATCAAAACAATCCGAACTATCGAAATCAGTACAGACTATGACGTCGACAACAGCTTTTAAAACTCCAGCATTACTAATACTGCCTGAAACAGATATACAAAAGTCGGGAGAATAAGAGCCAAGTGTGTCATCAACAAAAATAATAGCAGCAGCAGCAGCACAGAAACACCCACCTGCAACACCATATGAACGAATAGTGTGTAATTGTTCAGTGAAAGCCAATCACTGTCACTGTTCGAATAGAATATGCACCACCTTCAAGGAAATTGAACAAATGCACTATCCGTACAACTGTAAGCCATATAAATATATTCTTTGTCCTGCAGATAAAGGCTTACAACAGTGTGATTGTATAATTCTGTGTAATCATCACAACGGACTGAGTGTAAGTCGACAGTAATCAACAGTGTATGCATCAAAAGTGTTTTGAGGATATTCGTCATAACAAAGACACAGCATTTCTTTTTCATTTTTATTTTTCGTATTCGGGAAGCTTTTCGCTTACATCTCACTTTTCAGTTTATCTGCTCTCAATAAGTTGAGAATTTATGACTCTGAATGTTATCTGCATTAGAGACAACTTGTCATTAGTTACTAAATATTATTATAAAACTAATGCTTAAAACTGTGTTTCTCAGTGATAAATAATAAATCGAAAAATTGATGATAATTTGATAAATCTCGGGCACATATAGACATATGTATACAACCATGGACCATGCTCTCGCCAGTAAAATATAGAGAATTTGAGCAATGGAAACAACACAAAAAGTGCCAGGGGATTCGCACAATCTGGGTAAGCAAACGTATCAGTGACGAAACGACATTTGATTGATTATCAGTGAAATTTATCAAAAAATAGAAAAGAAAAGAAAACGCCACACGATACAACACAACATCGATGGCGGTGCAGATTAACAACCAATCGGGAAAAATGCTTTCAGGAGATACAGTTATGTAATTAATTATTCACGGAGAATTCAAGTTAGTAGTTCATTTCATATTAAAGGAAATGTGTAGATGTACAGAAAGGTACCCCAGGTGTCAAACAGGCCGCCAAAATGTTTTCAGTCAGACTGCTTCGAATTAAATAGCTTCCTGTCGAACATCAGTCAGTGGTGTAAACTAAATGGTCTCATGCTGAATCCCTCAAAATGCAAGACTATTGACATCTATCTCCCTTAGGCATAAACGAGATCTACAAACACTAGTAAGTACTCATGATGCTTGTTGCATTGAGGAGACTAAAATTGAAACTAAGTCTCATGCGAAATACCTCGGTGAAGTTAGTTCTGTCTTCCGACCTTACTTAGACATCTCATATCTTAACGATTTCTAAGAAAGTGTTCTGTCTAACCTACTATTACTAAATTAAGAAACTTAGACAATCTGGAATCACCCAACCTGTACTTTCACAATTTGTCAACTCTTGTATCTTACCTATACTACTTTACTGCTCCCCGTTAGTCTTTCCCGGGCTGCTGAAAAAGGACTATACCATCCTGAGAAAGATGTCGAAGTTAGTTGGTAGGACTAGTGGTGTAAAACCCAGTCAGCTCGTCAGTACATTAGTTGAAAGGCATCTGAATACATGCGAAAAATGGTCTAAAACCATACTGTCTGACCCCTAACACCCCGTCTATTCCCAACTCTCGTCTTGTATCTCATCAAGTAGAATCAGAAATCAGTACAAAATAATATATGCTCAACGATTCCATATTTGGTCCGTGTTCTAAGTGACAGAGACAATGTTAAGCGCGAAACCTATGACTTGCTTTGTTGTTAATAACACAATTTTAGGCTCTTTTATTTCTCTCTTATTTTGTATTCTATAGTGAACTCCTTCCTAAATACACTTAGCTACCTAAATTATTAACACTGGCTTCCTTTTTGTACTTCACTGTATTCCTTCTTTTGTGTATCTACTGGTTCCGACTATATTAGCACTATGAGTAGTACAAAATTGTCCTGTCATTAAACATCATGTAATTATTAGTTTTGTGGTTGTTTTTTCTTATTTTTTATTTTTTTTCGGCAGTATTAACTGACAGTCATTGGTTTTGAACGCCATTGTCACCACCTTAAAATTTAGTATTATGCAGGATTACTCACACTACCACTACAAACACTGCATTAGACCTGACTATAAAAAACAAAATAACAACCCTGAAATGTTATTTTATGATTGTTTAGTGTTGGTTTTTCAACCAAATTAACTGATCATCTTGGCGATAAACATTCTTAAATATCATTTCATAACTTCTTGTATGACTATAGCTTTACTGTCACCATGCATAATCATATCATTGCTTCCACTGCCCGATACTGAGATATTATTTATTATGCTGTTTATTTTCCTTTCTACTTCCGGGTATTTTTTCGCATTTTTCTAAATTATTTTGTGCTTTTTTTGTAGTTGTTGTCGTGATATTCATTAATTTTTAATTTTTGAAAATAATCCTTTAAAACGTTGGACAAAATTAGATGCAAATATTGTAGATATGTGCTGAAAATTTCACACTGTACCACTAATACTGTTTCTGGAATAAAGCAAATTATTATTATTAATAATAATAAAAGCCTGCACCGACGATATTGTTTAGAAAGGACAAGCAAAGCTTTGCAGTTAAATAAACCAGCTCAGAGAACACAACTAAATCGAAATTATCCACCTGAGCTACAAATCTTCTGCATTATTTCAAATCAGAAGAATAATAATAATGAGTCCAACCTGGTGAGGTACAACAGAAAATGCGCAGATAATAATGACAATTGAATTATCAATTCACCTGCACTTACAAGTAAATTGCAAGTACAAAGGTACAAGGTACAAAAATCTAAAACAGGAACTGATACACATTAAAAAAAGCCTTGAAACTTAATAATTACCCGGATAAATTAATCAGGAAATATGAATGGAAATGTAAAAATAAAATAAATAATGATACTAGCGATAGTGATAATAACAATAATAATGATAATAATAATAATAATAGTGATAATAATAATATTACTGACGACACCAACAATAAGGAATCTAAATCATCAGTAGTAATTTCATACAAGGAAGGACCCTTGGAAGCCTTACGAAGAATTCCTAAAAAGGTGGACAGGAATACAAGTGGCTGCCATTCAAACCAACAGCAAACTCAATTAGAAACATGCTTTGTCGGTTAAAGGATCAATCCTGTGGAGCCTTTAAGACAAAACAATTCAGTTTATCTCATACCCTGCAATGATTGTCAGGTCAAATATATAGGCCAAACTAGTAGAACAGGGGCAGTGAGTCAAACTAGCTGAACATAAAAACTTAGCAAAATCTAGATTGGTTGACCCGAATAAGATAAGAAATCTAGAGAAACAAATTATTATGCCTGTACCTGATGTACCTAGTCAAGATAATGGTCATTTTCCGGGTTTTAAAGAAGAGGATGTACTATTATTTTTGAAATCTTTAAATCCAACACACAGCCTTCGTCCAGATGGTGTACCAGGCATTCTTCTTCAAAAGTATGCAGACATCTTGTGTCATCCTCTTACTCAAATCTTTAATGCATCATTTAACAAGGAAACGGTACCTGCTGACTGGAAAGAAATCAAGGTTGTACCTGTACAGAAATGATCTTCTGGAGCAGGTATAAAGTTTAGACCCGTCGCTATAACATCTCCTTTTTCCGAAACTATGGAGAAACTAGTTTTGAATATTCTTAAACCTTCTTTAAAAGCTTTTAGTGACCCTAAGCAGTTTGCTTATAAGTGTGGAAGAAGTACATTAGATGCAGACATTGTACTACACCACAATATTGTTTCCTGCCTTGATAAGGGTGCTAAGTTCGTTCGAACAGCTTTTTTAGACTATACTGCAGCTTTCGACTCTGTTCCTAGGACACTTT